GTGGGGGTGGGGGAGCGGGTTGGCTCTTACAGGTGTGTAGTGAGCCATCCTGGGACCGCGCAGGGCAGGGCCTCTTGGGGCCCAGGGGGCTGCGCAGCGGCTGGCAGGTGGGCTTCTTCGGAGCCTTGGCCTGCTGTGCGCCCCCTGGGCGCCAGTTTCCATGGCATCAGGAGCCCGGGCAGGCTGGTGGGTGGGGGGGCGGCTCTGGGACAGGGGGCTCCTGAGAGGAGGGGTTTGCCTTGGGGCTGGAGGTGCGGTGCTTGGAGGGCAAGCTCTGTTGGGAACGTTGAGTGGAGGGTGCTGGCTGCAGACCAGGGACTGGGCCCGTGTCCCAGGCCAGGGCTGTCTTGCTGGGGAAAGAGGGCCACAGGGACAGGGGTGCTGTGTGTGGGCCAGAAGGAGCTTGGGGGGCGGCTGGGGACAGGTGTGGAGCTTCCGGGACCAGGCCCAGCTGGAAGCAACAGCTCTGTCATTGAATAATGGGGCTCAGAACAGGCCATTGCCACTCAGCAAGGGGCCCTGCACCCACCCTCAGCACTCCTTGCCTGCAGGAAGCTGAGAGCCAGGGTGCCCCTGTTGGATCCTGGTCAGCCCCAGGAGAGGGACAGGTGGGTGGGGCTTGGGTGTCTGAGGACCTGGGAGCAGGGGAGGACCCCTGCCTTCTCCCATCCTGTGGGCCCTGTGGGGGCAGGCTGGCTCCCCCACAGTCGTGGAGGTGCTGGGAGGGGGCTGAGCAGTGACAGCAAAGCGCCTCGTGCCCACAAGTGTCTGATGGCTCCGGGGTAGGCCTGGCCAGCATGGCTTTTGTGAGGGGCAGACAGATGGAGCTGGGGATGTCCGTGCTGGCCTCTGCAGAGCTGCCTGCGTCTTGGGGAGGAGGCTTGGGAGACGGTTCCAAGCACCCCACCTGGCCCACCCTAGCCCAGCCGGCTACAGCCAGTGGGCTCTGCTTTTGGCCTGTCCCCTGCTGGGTCCCCTCAGCTGGCTCTGGCCTTTAGGGCAGGACCTGGCTTTCTTCCCTTTGCTGACAACCAGGATTCATCCTGCTGGAACCTTCTGTGGGTTCAGCTGCAGCAGGTGAGCCCTGGGCACCCGGCCGCCTCCTCTGGCCATGCACTCTGACAGAGATTGAACACCGGGAGGAGCAGGGGACATGGAGGCGCAGGAGGGCCGAGTGGTTCGGAGACAGGCGGGAGCTCCGTGCAGGGAGCTGAGCGAACACTGCCGGCATTGTAATCGGAGAGGGGCCAGGGAAGGAGAGCGAGCGAGAGAGGGCGGCTGACCCCACGCTCCCCGGGGACAGGTGGGAGAGGGAACGAGGAGCGAGTGAAGGATTCCAGAGGTGGGCCGGCTTCCTCTCTCGCAGACAGACACGGGAGGGAGGTGGCAGCGGGCCAGCGCGTACCTGCAGTTCCAATCTACGGTCCTGACAGCTGCAGCCACTTTGGGGAGGGGGAGGGGCGGCCCAGCGAGAGCGGAACCGTCACAGCCCCACAGCAGCCTGTGGCCGCCTGTGTCCGGTGCCGTCGGGGGTGGGGCCCTGTCGGCTCATCCCACAGGCTGGCCCTTGGGGCAGAGCAGCCCCCAGGAGAGCTTGGCCGGGGGCTGTCTATGCCTGCGGTCGCCCGCCGGGGCTCCCAGCACAGTGCCTGACCTGGAGGGGTCACATGTGCTTCCTGGCAGCCCGCAGGTGCTGAGCGGGGTGGGGGCCGGCCGGCCGGCGGGCGGGCGCAGTTGGCCTGGTGATGAATCATGTGGCCGCCAGCACCTCATTCCCCGGCTGGGGACAGGGAGCTGACAGCCCAGGCAAGCAGAGTGTTTCCAGCCCAGCTTGGCCCAGGGGGCGGCTGCTGGCCCAGGGTGCCTTGTGGGGCACGCGGACAGCCCGGGGTCTTTGTCCCTGGCCTCGCTCGGCATGGTGGAGGCAAGGCCAGCGCTCTGGGAAGGATGCAGGGCTGCAGTGGGTGGGGAGCACCTGCCACCCCAGCCTAGCGCTGTGGTAGCCAAGTGGACTTGTGTGGGGCCGCCTGAGCCACCCCCAGTCTGGTTTGAATTTCTGGAGCAGTGGAGGGTGACGGAGAGCTCCTCCCCGCCCCGACCCTCCCGCTCCTGCTGGCTGGCGGTCCCGGCCCTCGGCCGCGGCTGCTACCGGTGCAGCGCAGGGAGCAGCCGGGCCCGCTGCCCAGGCCCGAGGCCGGCCAAGCTGCAGCCGCTGTTGGGAGTCACAGGCGAGGCAGCAGTGCTTGGCCCGCATGCACCCAACCAGCTGGGCCCTGGGGACCCTCCCAGAGGCCGTCCTCCCACCGACTTGCCAGCTCCGTCCGTACACATCGTCGCCTCCTGCACTGGGCTCCAGGCGAGGGTCCTCGACGCCTGTGCCCCTCCAGCCTTTGCAGCCTGTCCCCCTCTCACGGCCTTACTCTGTGCATGCCCCCCACCCCTTCCTGTCTGCTGGCAGCTAGCCAGGGCCACTCCATGACCATGAGGTGTGTGCCCACACGGGTACCTGTTCTCTTGGGGGGTTTAATGAGGGAAGTTTGCACCCCCAATCCGGGCCCAGGTTGGAAACGTGAGGTCAGTCAGTGAGGGGCAGGTGGGCCATGGAGCCTCCCACAGACTGCAGGCTGCCCAGTGGATTGGGAGGCCGCCTGGGAGACCCTGGGGCACCTGCCTGCTGACACCTCCCCCAGGTCGTGCCCTCCCTCCCAGTGTCCTGGGGTCCCAGGAGGGGAAGGGGTGCTTTTCTCAGCCCCCAGCTGGACCTCCGCAGCCCCTGGCTCCCCAGGCGGGCGGGGGTGGGGGCTTCTGCAGTGACCGAGCTTGCCCCCTCCTCCCCTCCCTCGGCCAGCTGTAGGCTCCTGCAGGATTAAGGAGAGGAAATTTGGGGTTGGGTTTCTCTGAGTGGGACCTGCCGCTGTGACTTTTTATCCTGTTATATTTCTATCAGATTGGACACAGCCCCCCTCTTACCCTTAATGGCTCTGGCTTTGAGAATTTCCTCCAAAATTACACCACTGCTTCCTGCCTCGAGGTTCCCTGGAGCCCGGCAGCACAGAGGAGGGGGCAGCTCTCGCCCTGCCCTGCTGGGGTGCCCACGTGGGCCTCAGCACCTGGCTGCTCCCCGGAGGCCCAAGAGGGTGCGTCAGTGGGGGCCTGAGCCTGCACTGAGGGCTGGGAGGGCCCAGTGCTGGCACCTGGCGCCCTTGGCCATTCCCCACCGGCTGGCCGGAAGTCAGGCTGCTGGCCGCCTGGGTTGGTGGGGGGAGGTGGCCCACACAGGGCCACCCCCGCCTTTCTTCTCTGCTGTGCCCGCGGAGCTCACACCACTCAACTATAATTGTCACCTGCAGGATTTTAATGGTGAGCCAGCTGTGCACAGCTCAGGGAGGGGCCTGAGCTAACCTCCTCACAGACAGATGGGCTTTTGGGGGAGCTGGTTGGGCACAGTGGTGGGCAGCCAGGGTCCTCCCAGTGTGGGCAGTGCCGCAAGGGGCTGAGTGTGGGGCTGGGGCAGGGCAAGCCCGATGGGTGTAACCCCAGGGGTGCACACAGGCGGCTGCCACCTGGCCCCTGCCCTCAGGCCTGGGAATCCACTCTGCCAGGCAGTGCGCCTTGCTCAGCTCCCCCATGACTCTACTTCTTGGGGCTTCCGAGGGCAGAGGCTAAAGTGCCGAGGCCCTGAGGTCCTGCACGGGGTGCTGCGAGCTGTGCCCTCCTCACCACTTCAGGGGTGCCTGGGTGCCAAGCAGGCCCTGAGCGGGGGCAGGACCGCTCTCCCACCCCAGGGCCGGCTGCATCCCGCCCGTTCCTGCCGTGTGGCTCCCTCTTGCCCTCTTCTCCCCTCGCTGGGCTCCTTCGGCCCCCAGGGCAGTTCCCTGGCAGGAGACCCCTCTCTGCTTTGGGCCTGAGAGGGGATGGCTCTGAGGCCTGGACGGTGGGGGCCTTCCCTGAGAACTGGGGTGTCTCCGGCCCAGGGAGGACTGGACATAAAAACAGACAGCCTGAGGGGTGGGAGTGTGGGTTCAGGCTGGATTTGGGACCTTTGGAGAGGACAGTGTGCTTCCACATTTGGAAGATATTGTTTCGTTTTTAATTATACAAAATTTCCAGACTTTATATTATCATATCAAAGACACGAGATGCCAGCATGTAGTGACCAGAAGAAAACCCAGGTAGGGAGCCAGCAGGAAAGTTCCAGTGGGCCTGGGCAAGTGCTGTAGCCAGCTCAGAGTCCTGCCGCCGCCTGTCTGTCCATCGGCCCGGCCCCATTCCTAGCCGGAGGCGAGCAGGCCTGGTGGGCGCCCTCCTGGGAGGCCTGTGCCCGAGTCAGGTCCGTGGGGGCTCTCCGAGGACGGCCCAGTGGCACGGCCTCTAACTCCGAATGGCTGTCTTTCTGTCACGGTCCTTGCTCTGCAGAGGGGAGGGCAGTGTCAGGGCCTGGGTGGAGTCCCAGTGCCAGCCCGCTCCTCTGGGCTTCCCCTCCCGTGCTGGCTCAGGTGGCGGGCACTGGAAGCACCCCCTTTCACGCTCACCCCGCTTCCCTGTGCACTTGGGGAGGAGAGTACACACTGCTGCACAGCCGAAATTGTAAAATTAAATTTCCCAGATGTTCAGGCCCCAGGAGCTCGTGCGTGCTGTCTGGAGAGGAAGTGGGGATTGGGAAAAGCTGCGCCGTATTTTCTCCCTGCTCACCCTGCTTTTCCGGTGCCACCACGCACAGCAGGAGCTGTAAATCACAGCCGGCCAGCGTCCCAGCCCGTGGCCCTGTCTCCCAGCCCCCAAGTCTCCTGCCAGCCTCCCGCCTTCAGGCCCCACAGCCACACCAGTTCTGAGTGGGCAGCCCCAGGGGCTGGGGCCAGGGGAGGGGCGGCAGGTGCCTGTTAAGTCTTCGGCAGGGGCTGTGGTCAGGGACGCCTTGGGGGGGAATCTCCTTACTGCCTCACTGTCTGTCCCCCTCCCCAAGTTCCCATCCCATCGGAGCAGGGGCATGCCAGAGTTGCTCAAACTAACCGGGTCTGGGTCCCAGCCTCTTGCAAGTTGGTGTCTGCCCTGCCTGCCAGACCCTCACCTGGTCCTGGGTGGCCCTGTCCAGTCCCCATGGAACCTGTCCTGGGGACTCTGGGGAGCAGGCCCTATGAAGGCCAGACCCTGCCTGTTCCAGCCACGCCCTCCGTGTGCTCCCTCCCTCGGACCTCGCAGTCGGGTTACAGGTGCTGCTGGAGGGCTCTGCCCCTCTGCTCGCAGGTGAGGACCGCAGGGCTGATGCAGAGGTGGGGGTGCCGCGCGTCCTCCTCGGTCCCTGTCCCTGGCTTCCCCGCCGACACTCACCAGCTTTCTCTGGTTGCTCAGGCAGAAGGTGCAGATCTGCTTGGGCTGGGCGTTCTCGCCGTCGCGGGCGGGGGGCGGCGGGGGGCTGCCGGCGTGCGCAGCGTGGAAGAAGGCAGGCCCCGAGTGGCACGGCTGCCCGTCGCCGCAGGCCTCGCCCACCAGCAGCACGTTGCCCAGGTGCGAGATGTAGCTGGAGGCCAGGCGCAACGTCTCGATCTTGGAGAGCTTGCGGTCGGCGGGCTCGGTGGGGATGAGCGTGCGCAGCGCCGTGAAGGCCGTGTTCACGCTGTTGGTGCGGTCCCGCTCGCGTGCGTTCGCCGTGTGCCGCTGCCGGGGCTCCCGGCCCGGCCGCCCCCCGGGGCCCGGGCCGCCCCCCGCCCGCCTGCCCCCGGCCCTTCTCCGGGCGCCCTGGAGGCCGCAGCGCGCCGCGTGCACGCGGCAGGGCTTCTCGTCGGAGCCCGAGCTCTCGCTGCCGCGGTCCTCGTCCTCCGACAGCGGGCTCACTTCGGGGTACAGGTAGCGGCCGGGCGGCGCCGAGCGCAGCATGGCGAAGGACACAGGCCGGC